TCTCCCATAAATATAAATGCTGGTCACAAGTGTGATGAAATCAGTGAGTACACTCCATTTGTTCCCAGTTACTGTATTTCATTTACATCTTACAATTTCTTAACTGTACTTGTTAGATGTTTGTTTAGCCAAAATTCTTTTTTAATTTGTTACTTTGTGAGCACATGCTATCCCAGGCTTGTTTGAGTTAAAGGATAAGGCTGGTCATTTTCTATATTATCAGTATCTTCAACAATCCCCATGCAGAGACTAAAACCAACAATGATTTCCCTGTACTTGTGGTTAATGTCTGTTAGTCTGTCAGTCCTGCATTAGCTTATCTGTCTGTGCCATAGACCTCCATTGTTGTTTAAAAACAATTAAAAATCACACCAGTTAAACACGCTGCTGCACTGGGTGACAGATATTTAGCATTCTGAGTCTGCTTCCTATCATTTTCCTTATGCTCCTACATACACAAAGTGATACTGTATCTATTGCTTATTTCTAAAAAAAAAAAAAAACTTAGGAAAACTACACAATAAAGGCATGTAGTTGGAAGAGTATTTTACTGTTAAGGATATAATGTAACATAATTTAAGAATAATTATAAATTAATCATAGTTTCATAGTTTAAAAATGTTATATTTAATTAAAATAAAAACAGTCCCCAAGCTTTTACAATTTCTTTGCCACAGAGCACAGACACAGTAACATAAACTCTGATGCAGTATATTATAATACAATTCTAACAGCAACCACACTCTGTTAATCCTTCTAATGCTCAATTATTACTATTTTAGAATCATGTTGATTAAACTCATTTGTTTCCATAGTTTGTATCATTATTGTTATTATTATTTTTATTGTATTATACAGATGGAGAAAATTAAATTATACAATACAATCACAAAATGACCACAGGGATGAATGAATATCTCAAGGACAGTCAATAAAACGGAATATGGTAAGTTTAATAAAGGTAGCATTTGCTGCAGGTCCATAAAAACTGATTCAATCATATTGCACAAGTATTATTGTGTCCACTCACTATTTTAGAGCAAACCCTAAATGTTCATTGTTAATGTGGGGTTGGAGCAATTACAAGACAAATCTATGCTTGTGCAAAGGCTAAGTTGGTTATTGGGGCTGCAGTGGGTATCAAGATATGTTTGCACTAGCCACTGCACAAAATGATTATAATTTACACATAATGGCTCTGAGTAGGATGAAAGAACGTAACTCCCAGATATGTGTTGCACTAACAATGGGCTTTAATGAGGGAGCAGCGGCAACAGAGGTGTTTCTGTGACAAGAGGAGTTCTGCATCTCTTCCCTCTAGGCTATTGAAAAGCCTGGAATTAATGTGACTATAAGAATTTTGATTTCACAAAATGCATCTTTAGAGACATTAGAAAGCACTAGTGCAGGGGGCAGACGCATGGTTACAGATGTCATTTCAGTATGATTTTTTAAAATCTTTGTGAACAATGCTGTGAGACCACATTATTCTGTGTCCACTTTTAACCTGAAAATGTCTGTGAAGCATCCCTTTGGCTGTTTTCCCCATCTATTTGCATTGTTTACATGCACTCTGGATGTTGGTGCCTGGGATATTCAGACTTTTGAAAGCAGCACAAGACAGAACGACACCCAGGAAGATTCTGTGCACTCTCTTTTTTCTTGTCCTTTTTTTTTTTTTTTACACATCTGGGCATGATCACATAAAAGTTATGCCTACATGTCATGACAAGTGAAGTGACATACACAAAAGATACTGGATACTACACACATACACAAATACATAATATGGTAAACACACACACTCAGATATAAAAAAGGAGAGAGGAATGTGAGTGCTTAAGCAGACTGGTAGAGTAAACCTGAGTTTGGCAGCTTTGCTTAGACTGCCTGTCTGTATAATAAAGCGCAGGCTGAGAGAGGAAGAGGAGATAGCAACAATGACAGTATTTCTACTGCACTTCGGCTGCAGCTCCACAACAGATGTCCAATCAAAATACACTCAGGGAACACAGACAGAAAACAGAGCTTACAAGACAACACTCTACTCTCTACCAGACAAATTCCCAAAAAAAGTACACACAAAATTTGTCAGAAAAACAACAGCCAAAGAATACCATTTCCCACTTTCCAAATTGCTTGAATATGTTGGGTGAGGGAAAGTATTCTGGTTTGGAGTAAAAGTTTAGGGACTGGGAAGCACTAAACTAAAGCGTTATCCTTTAGCAGAGGTCAGTGGTGCTGGGCTAATAAATGTTCATTAACTTCTCGGCATATCCTAGAACATCTCCACGCCTCCACAGGCAAAACAAGCCACGCTAATACCGGACAACCTTCAGTCTGCAGTGTTTCAGTGAGCTAAGCTGGGTGCTCCCAGGCTCTAGGTAATGGTGCAGTCATTGTAAAGAGAACATTAAATATTCAGAGAGAGCCAACAGCGTGGATGTGCATAATAGGCAGATACAGGCGTCTTATCCTCTCTGTGCGTGTATGGGTGTGTGTGCAGTTGGGTTTATGCAAGAAGGGTGTAAGCATATGTGTGTAAGTATACAGTATGTGCCCTCATTTGTTCACATACACATGAGGATGTCTGTGTGGAAGCTCTAACCATGTGTTTGTGTTTGCACGTGTGTGGGCGGGATTCGTACCTTGGGTTTGCACAGAGTCGAAGGACCAGCGCAGAAGCATCTAATTGAAAGGGATTTGAGGGATATGGCAGGAGTCAGCATGTTATGACACGCTGAGACTGGACTCTGGTGGACAGTTAAAACCAGCAGGAGGCTGAGAAGCACAAGTGTGTATTTGTCCTTGTGTGTGTGCGTGGAAGCATTGGTATTTGTGCAGTGTTTGTGATAATGTGCAGTTGTGAAGTGTATGTTCTGAGAGTGTTGTGTGTCTTGTGTGCCTGTATGTGGTTGAGAAAATGAACATTGCTCTCTTTTCTAACAATGACAAGGGTAGAATTCTGGTGTATTAAAGGGAAAACAGCTTCAACAGGTGACAAGGCTTTGTATTAAGAGTTTCTGAAGAAACCACTGCTATATAGAATGTGCATGGTGTGTCATGGGTAATGGTGCTGGGAAGCAGTGCATATAATTATGTACACTAGGTAAGACACTCACACACAGAAATGATGCTGAGTCTACAACCAGATGGTTAGAAATCTTCATCACTATATCAATCTGAATTTCGTTTTACAGTAAAGAACCCTGCCAGAAAACAGAAACAATTCATCAACTATTGTTCAGAAAAATGCCAGAACATCCAAAAATAAAATAGATGTGTAGGACTGACTGCAGGGCTGCAACTAATTTTCATTATTGATTACTGGCCATTAAGTGATATCTAGGGATGAGATCTATGTACAGTCCTCATTCTGTGGAGAAATGTAAAAGTCAGCCTAAGCTAATGTGAAGTTTTATTAGTTAGTCAAATCAAGTAGGCGTCTTCCAAATTACAAAATTCCCTAACTGTGTTAATATCCCTCCGCTGCATCTCTGTAAAGAAACATTGTTTGGTGAAATAACAAAAGGAAATTTTTTGCTAGACTGTTACTGGATTTTGAGAATAAACCTTCTTAAGTTGGATGCCTCATACTGCCAAACTGTTTATATACAGTTTATATATACATTTATCTATACATTTAATTTATTTAAACATACATTTATATATACAGTATAACTTTTTTGCACAAAACTTGGATTGTGGCCTTCATTTTCCAAGATGATTTCAGCAACCAATATGTTTTTAAAAGTACACATTGGCATGCTTGTATTGTATTAAGATTTATTTTAAAACATATGGACCTATATTTGAATATTTTTATTAACTGATCCATGATAATATCCTAGAGCGATCTCATGCTGATAGGCACATTGCTTGATTTGTTAGATCAAAAGTCCCAGACCTCAAGATGTTCAATTTACAGTGATGCAAAACCAGAAATGCAATAGATGTTCATATTTTGACAGCTAGAAATGGAAATTATTTGTCATTTTAACTTAAACTATTAATCAGTTATCAAAATTCTGTTGATTAGATTTTTCTCAACTGACTACTTGCTTCAGCACTATATACTGAATATGCATGTGTGCCAGTGTTGTAGTGGAGTCACTAAACCTTGAGTGTGAGTTGAGTCTCGAACCCCTCGTGTTTAAGTCCGAATCAAGTCCGAGTTACCAAAGATTAATCCGAGTTGAGTCTGAGTCAAGCCTCCGTTACCCGAATCAGAGTCATCAAGGTCTACATTAAACCAAACTGACACAGATCTCACCATTTTATATTCCAAACTTTCCAACAGTGTATCGCAGCAATCTGATACACTAAAATCATTTATAGAAAGGCGGAGTGTACACTTTTGATCTTAGGCCAAATTATTATGGCCTATTATACACACACACAAACAAAAAAAATAAGTCCTTGTCTCCACCTTAGGAATTCAAATACAGTCAATGCTTGAGTCCGAGTCCAAGTCTGAGTCATCAGTGCTCAAGTCAAGTCACAAGTCCTGAAAATATGGACTTGAGTCAGACCTGAGTCTGAGTCCTGGACTCAAGTACTACAGCACTGGTGCATGAATGCATGTACTGTATTGTGTCTGTCCAGGAACTTGAAAATAGAGACAGCAGAAACTGGAGAAGAACAGCTGGAGCAAACAAAGCTTGGTCACATGGTCAACAGCCAACTTTACTCCTCTGCCTCTGGCACTGATAGCCATGGTGAACTTTACATGTTCATGAACCTAGGGAACTTGCCTATCCTCATTCTCAGGTTTATATTCTTATGTCACATGCCACTGCAGCACAGATGTGCTCCTCTAACTTGCATGGAGAAATTAACTCTCAAGAATTTTGTGTGTTTCAACACAAAATCACCTCCAGGCTCATGACCCTCAAGATTCAAACTGTTTATGAAGAACAAATTAATGCACCATCGTGTTATTCAACAGAAAACATGCCCCTTTCTCTTCTAAACTGCAACAACCAATGTCATGTCCTTACATCTTCCCATCCACGTCCAGATGTCCAGGAAATTACATCCAGGAAGGGGTTAGCCAGGTAACCATCACTATTGAAGGAGTAGTCTCGACCACCAAGTGTGATGTTGCTGAAATACCTGCATGGCGAAGGACGAATACAAAAAGGAGAAGGCAGACATTAAGTAAATGACAGAACACACATAATATAAATCAATTAACCGTATATTTTCAGGAAATGAGGAAAAAATTGAACTAATAAAGTTGGCTTTGATGGAACTGAAAGCCTACACTGATCTCTCTTCCCACTTGAAACTAAATCGCAGCACCTCTATGGTGACAGTCAGGGCTTGTTTGTTAATCAAATCTACAGACAAATGATCAAACGCACAGAACTGTCAGGATCTGTGAAGTCAAACAACTGTTGTTGTCTCCCAGCACTATAGTTGGTCTGATTATCACACAGGACAGACCTTCTAATTGTCTCCTTGCGTCATCTTGCTGTCTTCAAAACACAGAATCTGAAAGCTTTTTTTTTTATATGACAAGAGGCTTCAATTGGAACAGCAACTTGTAGTTACAGACAGTGAACAGCAGGTAGCAGTGCAAAAAATGGAAATGAAAACATCTTCCTTGGTTCTTGGACATATAGCTCATATATAAACCATTAATCATTTTCCTTCAATTGTCACACAGCTTGTGCTGTGCTTCATTTACAAAAATACTGCAAATGTACAAATTAATTACACATTTGGCTCATTGTCACATCACCCAAAATTACAGGAGGATCTTTATACAAGATGTGTGCGGCATGTATGTGGAGCAAGAATGACTGACGTTAAAAATAAACCAAAATGATAACTTGAACCACTTGAGCTACAGTACCTGTTGGAGTATGCTACTGTCTGTTTGCACAGCCTACAGTACGAGGAATATATTAAAGCTTGCTCATTAATATACATGAGACATGCTCCGCTTGCTACAGATGCTGGGGTAATTTCACCAACTCACAACTACAGGCACCAACAACAACTATTTTGCATGAATGATAGCCAGCTCCAAATTCAGATATTCCCTCTGTGCTTGCTCTCTGACACTGAACTTGCCAACTCCACCCATATACCTTCCAGCTCATTCTGGCGCCAAATCAACTTGTTTAATAGAATACACATTATCCTGTTTCTATTTCCTTCCTTTCTTTTTCGCATATTCTGTCTGGAGTCTGCCAACTGCCTTTTACTTAGCCACAACCTAATGTTTCTCTTCCCTGCCTCCTCTTATTCTCTCTATAGAGCTTTCCTATTTTCCTTTATCTTCCTCTCACCTCATTCTGCCCTGAAGTCTCTGGGTCTGATTGGCATCTGTCATGCAGTTGGTGACAAAGTTCGGCCCACCCGTGGTTCCGTATTCCTTGCGCATTGCCACTGCCCCATGAGTCAGCACAGACACACCCCGAGCAATCCTTCGTCGAGGCTCGTCCCTCCAGCCCTGGGGCCGCACTGCAAACAGAGCCCGGGGCAGGCTGTCCATCCCCAAACCTGAGAGAGCTGGTCCCACAGCAAACCACATGTGTGAGGCTCCGGCCTGACCTGCGGCCCAAGCAGCTCGGAAAACCAGCTCAGCTTCCTCCTGGGAGCAGTACAGCAAACGTACCTAGAGGACAGTAGGAAGACGGGGGGGAACCAGGATGAGGGAAGACACACACAAACATACATGCTAGTGAGATTAGGAGGGGACAGGGAAGATGTGGAGAAAGACAAGAGGTGGGAAAAGTAAGGGGATAGAGATAGAGCTGGAGCAGAGGTACACCTGGGGTGGGGGGGGCTATGGTGAGGTTTGATGGAAAAGGCCATATCAAGAGCAAACAATTATGCTGAAAGAGGTAAGAGAAGAGATAGCTGCAAGCTGATGAGATAAGGTTCATGGGAGTAGGGAGTATGATTCAACAAAAGAAGAAGACACACCAGCAAGAGGGAAGGCTGCATGACTGCTTGTGACATGTGTTACAGTAACCAGGACTTGCCAGAGGTGATGGGGGACAGTGCTTATTGAGCTTGGACCTGATGAAACAAGTTACAGCAATGAATAATGAAAACAACAAGAAAAAGAAAATGTAAAATCTCCTAAGTAACAGACCAGAGAAATAGAGTGGGTAGAGGCAAGGAAGCAATGGAAAGGGCGGTGGTTAAAAATCAAACACACCTAAGGGAAAACAAAGGAGAAGAGGTTAAACTCTGACATATGTTATTAAAAGCAGGGTGGAGAAAAGACCTGGAAACAACAGAAGATGGAGGGGGCACAACGAGCTGATGTAGGGAAGTAATCAGAGATGAAAAACCACAGTAGTCACTCCTTAGGTAGGGGGTTAGCAAAGTAAAGCAAAGGATGACATATTTTGTTGAAATAGGGGCCTGAGGAGATAAGAGTTATTTGCAAAAAAAGTGGTGGGATGATAGAGTGAGACTAAAACAGAGGGAAAATCACTGAAGAGAGAGAAAGACAAAGTTGGAGCAATGGATGAGCTCTCCCCTGCAAGTGCTGAGGTAGAGAGGGTTGAGAGGGAGGTTGAAGCTAACCAAAGAGGATTTTACAGGGTTAGAGGGTAAATGGAGAGGGAAGAACGGGGTTGACGTGAAGAAGATGGATCTGAGATGGAAAAAAAAACAGGAGAGGTTAAACACTGACAAATGCCCAAAAAGAAGGAAGGAGTACGTGTGTTTAAAATAATAAAAATGATTGAGTGAAGAAACGAGACAGAGGGGAACTGAAGGACAAAAAAGAAGAAGATGACTCTCTTGCATTAGTGGGGGTGGGGGGTGGAGGAGCACAGGGAAACAGACTGAAATCATATTTTGCGAATTTTGCCTTGACGGAATTTTGAACTGTAATGGCTTGGCAAAACAATGCTGCATGTATGCCAATAAACCTCCAGTGAATTAGACAGGGAATGAGAGTGGCAGAAGGGGAGGAGGAAGGAGGGTGGCAGGCAGAAAGGGAGAGTGAATTAAGGAGAGTAGGAGAGTATCTGAGTTACAAACAGAAACACATGCTAGCTAAAAATGGGAAATAAAGAATGAGATGAACATACAACAGAGAGAAAGAGAGAAAGTAAAACAAATACTGACAAGGCAGAAGCTGGAAGAAGAACAGAACAAAAGATAGGTAGTGAGAGATTTGAGTTGAAAACTGACCCAGAGACCTGCATCAGTCCATCTACAGAGTAGAACGCATTGCCATATATGTGACAAAGAGAGCAAGCCTGTAATGCAAACACACAAGGGATCGCTAAGCAAGCATTTCTTAGCCCTACAGTGGAGTAAAGCTAAAAGAAGGGAGGTTGTAGTGAAAAGCAGGAGGGTTAAAAGAAAGACGTGTGTGGGGGCAGCCCTCTTCAGGCAATATGTTATATTAATAGTGACACTAGCAAAGCTGAGTCTAAGGACTAATACACATGCACACACTTATAGACACAAACATATACACACACACACACACGCTCAGGCAGAGCTGCAGTGGCCGTGCCGGGACATTAGCGATGACATTGAGACCCAGATTAAACTGAGTCAACAGTGAGCCGAGTCTGTGGCTGGGAAGACATCCAGTAAGAGGATGGACAAATGGACTGAAGGAATGAAAGAGCCTTACAGAGATGGAGATGAAAAGCAAAGCAGCAGATAGTGAGGTGGTCGCCAGGCAAAGAAACGTGGGGGGGGGGGTAGCAGAGGCGGTAGCAGCATTTTAACAACATTTTAACAGGATGATCATGGGGTCATAAAGGATTTTTAAAGGAAGGAGTAAGGAAAACTGAAGTGTGAAAGCAAAAGCAAGAGAAGTGGGAGTGAGATTTTGAAAGAAGTAAGAAAGGGACGAAGGATGGCAAGCAGTGATACAGTATGAAGAAACAAATGAGTGGTGCTAACCAAAGCCATGAGTCACTACGTGCAAGGTTTATGAAACAATGTGAATTTGAGGTGAATGAGTGATTTGTTTTTCTTCGTATACAATTGCCTGCATATGCTGTCAACATGTATAGAGAAGGTAAATATAGTGAAGTTAAATAAAGATGGTGTGTGTAGAAGAAGTAGAGTTATATCTGGATCAGAATGGGGTCATGAATTAGATAAGGTGATGTTCAGGTAAAGGGCCATGTTCAACAATCAATAATCAGTGGCCCACCTGTGGGTCACTGATTACAAACTTTCAGATCCCACAGCTTCCATAAGATGCCAAACATGTCAAGCTGACGAGAAATTTACAGTGGGTACGGAAAGTATTCAGACCCCCTTAAATTTTTCACTCTTTGTTATATTGCAGCCATATGCTAAAATCATTTAACCTCATTTTTTTTCCTCATTAATGTACACACAGCACCACATATTGACAGAAAAACACAGAATTTTTGACATTTTTGCAGATTTATTAAAAAAGAAAAACTGAAATATCACATGGTCATAAGTATTCAGCCCCTTTGCTGTGACACTCATATATTTAACTTAGGTGCTGTCCATTTCTTCTGATCATCCCAGAGATGGTTCTACACCTTCATTTGAGTCCAGCTGTGTTTGATTATACTGATTGGACGTGATTAGGAAAGCCACACACCTGTCTATATAAGACCCTACAGCTCACAGTGCACGTCAGAGCAAATGAGAATCATGAGGTCAAAGGAACTGCCTGAAGAGCTCAGAGACACAATTGTGGCAAGGCACAGATCTGGCCAAGGTTACAAAAAAAAAATTTCTGCTGCACTTAAGGTTCCTAAGAGCACAGTGGCCTCCATAATCCTTAAATGGAAGACGTTTGGGACGACCAGAACCCTTCCTAGAGCTGGCCGTCCGGCCAAACTGAGCTATCGGGGGAGAAGAGCCTTGGTGAGAGAGGTACAGAAGAACCCAAAGATGACTGTGGCTGAGCTCCAGAGATGCAGTCGGGAGATGGGAGAAAGTTGTAGAAAGTCAAAGA